GACAAATGCAGATGCTGGGTGCATATAACCAATAGGGGAAGATTTCCTTTCTCTGTCTGGAGACTAGAGTTAGAGATTGAGGACTTTAATTCATGTGATATGTGATGTGGGCAGCAACTACTTAGAATAATTAAGTTATTCATTCAAGAAAAAACACAGGACACTGTCTCCTCAAAATTCATGAAATTTAAAAATAGGGTGAAAACATCTGTTGCCAAATTAGAAAATATTCCACCCAGAATTCAGGACCTGTCTGTCTGTGAAAGGAAGAAAAACACAGACATTTCCCAGGAGTGGGAGACAGGACTCAGCACCCCAACTCTGAGCCACCCATGGAGATTTTTGCTTAAATATTGGGCCTCTTTTTAGGGGAATGCTTCTAGCTGTATGGGCTCTGCATTCCCAGAGAATGGGACAGTCTGTAGGGTGGATGGCCTCAAGTCCTGGGAGATCCTGGAAGTGTGTTTGCAAAGGAAGAAGGCAGTCATTAACCAGCAAGAGAGAAGACATGGCAGAGCAGCAGGTGACCAGGCTGACTGTGCTCTAGAGGGGGCGCTTCTGGTCCGCTAGCCCCTCACTACCACGCAGCTCAAAAGGCAGTCCTGTATCTCTCTGCCTAACCACATACTGCCCTCATTCCTCACCCCTTCCAGAAAGTACTTTAAGCCAGAGGAGATATATCTTTTTTTTTTCTTGCTTAGAAACAGCTTGGAGTATAGAACACAGAATATATCAACATCTTGAAGTAAATATCAGTCAGTAACAAGCTTGTCATGCACATGCAGGCCTAAGACTTGAGTTAAATCCCCCTTCCAGTCATACATCTGGGCATGGTGGGTGGCATGCACTTGTAATCCCAGTGCAAGGTAAGTAGAGACAAGAGGATCCCTGGTGATTGCTGTTCAGTCATAGCCCAACGGTGAGTCCAGGTCTCAGTGAGAGAACCTTTCTTAAAAATCAAGGTCAGGTATGACATTTATTCCAACATGTTGGTATATTTTATGTTCTATACTCCAGGATGTTTCTAAGAAAGGAAAGAAAAAGATACTGTTCCTCTGGCTTAAAGTACCTTCTGGAAGGGATGAGGCGTGAGGGCAGTATGTGTGTGGCTAGGCAGAGATACAGGGCTGCCTTTTGAGCTGGACAGTAGTGATGGGCTAGTGGAGAATGACTCCTTGGGAGTGACACATGAGGTTGACCTCTGGTTTTTATATCTACATGTATGCACATGGATGCACACACCCACATGCATACACACCCATCAGCAACAACAAAGGAATACACTGCATCTCAGGCTCCTTGAGTTCAGTCTTTGTATCAGTGGTCTATGCCTTAGTGACCACTTAGCCAAGGCAGGTACGAATACACATAGTATGAACTGCACACTGAGACATTTTGTGTCAGGGTTTACAACTTAAAGGTATATGCTTGGTTCACTTTAAAAAAAAAAAAGCTATAGTTCACTTTTATAAGGGGTCAGAATTGTCTCATATCTTCAATGAGCCTAAGACAGTGGAGTCTGTGGAAAGGCCTAACTGGGCAGACTACCTCAGAATATGCAAACTGTGTGTCAAGTCCCAATTATGGGTATGGAAAGGCTAACTCAACTAACATCATGTAGCACCTTAATACACTACATCTTATAATCATTAACTCAGTTCATCATACAACAACTCAATGGGCCAGACACTAATCTTACTCACACTTTACAAATAACAATTTGAAGCCCAGAGAGGTCAAGTGACTTGTCCAAGATCACACAGCACTCAGAGGTGGTAGGCAACTTGGTTCCAGACCCAAGGTACCATAATAGGAATTTCATAATGTGCTGAATGAGAACCAGATGAGGAACTGAAGAATGCCCCACCTGATGCTCCTGTTATGTCCATTGCCTTTAAATTCCTTGCTTTTATAATGGTGATGGTCAGCCTGCCAGCCGTTGGAAGATAACAGAGTGAAAACATAAGCTCTCCCAGATCCACATTGTCCTGTTAAGAAAGCACAAACCGAAGCATTAGAAAGTGTCTTCAGCCCACATGCAGGAGGCTCAGCAGCAGGGCAATGTTCAAAAGGACACTCTGCTCCTTTTGTTTAGCTCACGACATTCTAATGTCATAAAGAAACTCCACCCTTGTACTAGGATAGCTCTACATCTATGGAAGCACAATATTTAAGATGGTAGAGCTGAAGAGGATGTCCACAGGAAGCTACCACACACCCAGCCCACATGTACAGCCTCATACAAGCTCCCATAGTCCAGAACGCAGCATTCCCAGAGTGACCTTCCATGTGGCTCTACTCACATGGCTGTTGCGATCTAGAGACAGTTCTCAGCACAAAGCCATGCAAAGAGGAGCCTACCAGGGCTGTTCACCCTAGTAGAGCCCAGAGAGTCCACCTGTAACCCCACTCAGCTTCCTGTGGTCTTTCCAGCAGTGTTTCACTCTAGCTCATATGCTTGACTATCTACACAGAGCAGTCAAATGAGCCACACTGTCCCCCCTGTCCCCACACACTCTGGCATAACCCAGTCTCACCCCTGTTCTACACTGCCATTTGTACCCTTAGCATGGCAAACAACCTCTGTAGATCAGGAGCATGTGGTTCTACCATATCATGGAATTTTCTAGCTCTAATTAATTCTGGACAAAGACACTGCATGAGCCTGGCAGTGACAGTCTCTGACCTCATGTTCCCACATAATTGGACATACTGGGACACGAACCTAGTCCTGCACAAGACCCAGACAGGGAGAAAAGTTCAGAACCTGGAATTTAGGGAGCCCTGATGTCTGTTCCTCGAGGTCCCCCTTAGTCACATCCCATCTTGAGTTTATCACAAGGAGCTCCATTCCCTCTACTCAGATCCTGGGAAAGACATCTCCTTGGGCAATGTACAGCCAATCCAAGTAGGTCAGAAGACATGAATCTCTCCCCTGCTCCCCTCTCCTTTTAAAAGCCCAGGAGAGTCTAACTAGGAAGAGGAAAAAAGCCAGTTCATTTAGTTTCAATTTCTGCGAGACACCTGAGGTTATAGATCTGGGTGCCTGTGTCTAATTAATACTGTTTCATACTGACAATGCTCCGGGGACTTGGGTTCTGGCCCTCGACATCCACAGCCTCCCCTCCCATTCTAGATTCTTGGAGGATGCTTCTATTTTTAGAAGCACAGATTCAGCCTTGGAAGGTCACCTTGCCAGCCTCCTGACTTGACTGCTTCCACAGGAGGAGGAGGTAGAGGATCTGTTTGGTAGCTAAGGCAGATGGATTGGTCTGTGTCTTCAAGCATGGCTTGGCTCATGCAAATAAATCACCTCACCTTGCTGCCCAAGCTGCCCTGGTTTCTGGAGCCTTGACCTCAGGAGACCTGGTGGCCAGACCTTTCCCTGTGGGGAGAGGCTGGGGGGCACTGTACAGGAGTGAGGTTTCACACATGGCAGGTGCTTGTTGCTGTGTGGTGCTGTGTTCTCTTCTGTAGGAGCCAAACCCTCTCTTTGCTGTTTATACTCAAGTCCACTCCTGTATCCTGGGTTTCTAGTTTCCCTTTCCAAAGCACCTTGCTCTCTTGTTTTATCTCAACTTGCCCAGAGAATCCCAATTTGAAAAAGTAATTCTAGGATTGGCCCAAATCATGCCCATGAAGGTTTCATGATCAATTCTTTCAGCATATATTTGCTGGGGGTTCACACTGTGCACCTCATTCTGAAAGATTTGCAATGTGAAACACACAGTTTAATTCTGGCTCTTCAGGGACATAGTTAAATGTGAGGTGTCTGATTCCTTCTGTACTACTTCTGTACTTAGTATGTGATGGTGTCTTCTTTTCTCCCACGATGAGTCCCATTCATAACTATTTCTATTGTAAGAGTGTATACTTATGAGTTAAAAGGAAAAATAGCAACAATAAAACTCTAAGACTAAAATCCATAATTGTATCTTTAAAAACACATAAGTTAAACAAATAATCATCAAAGTGAACATTCTTAACCCTCAAGTGATTTACAGAGAAATTTTGTGTGTTTGCGATGTGACTCCATTGGTATAGCGCTTGTCCAGCAGGCAGCACGTAAACCAGGGATAGTGGCACACTCTAAGTCCTTGGGAAGTAGAGACAGGAGGAGCAGCAGTTCAAGGTTTTCCTTGGCTACATATGGAGTTCAAAGGCAGACTGGGCTACACGAGACCGTGCCTGAAAATACAATCTTATAGACATTTTATAAAATTTTTACTTATAGAAGTTATTTATTTATAAAATAATTAAATGAAAATAAAATGATGCTGGAGTGGTGGTTCCGTGGGTAAGAGTGCATTTTCCTCTTTAGAGGGCCTGAGTTCAGTTCCCAGCACCCGCACCAGAAGGCTCACAACCTCCTGTGACTTTTCCTCCAGAGGAACTGATGTTACTGGCACCTGCATTCATGTGTACATATTGACATGCTTGAACAACACAGAAAATTTAAAGTAAGAATTCAAAAGTAAAATGACAGTAAAATTTCAATATTGAAAGACAATAAAATATCCCCCACCCCTTCCTACACACCCTAATGCCACTCTTCCTCAGAGTAACACTGTGAATAATCATTAGGGCTTTCATTCATTTGTTCATTCACTTAATCTTTTTTTGTAGATTTATCTATTTCATTTTTTGCATGTGTTTTCCTGTGTGTATGTATGTGTGCCATGTGTCTGGTGTCCACAGAAATCAGAAGAGAGCACCATATCTCCTGAAACTGGAATTATAGGTGATTGTAAACCACCACGTGGCTCCTGAGAACTGAACCTAGGTCCTCTGCAAGAGCAACAAGTGCTCATAACCATTGGGTCATCTTTCCATCCCCTCATTTCCTTATTCTTAGATCATCTATTTTGGCCATAAGACTCCCAGAGTCTTGGGGCTGAATCAGCAATAGTAACTCAGAGCCATGGTCCTCTGAGGAGATATAAGCTTCCCAGGCCAGAGACCACTGGCATCTGATGGTAATGTTGCTTTCTCACCATCAGCTGATGAAGATTTAGGATCAAGAACCTGTGGCTTTCTATCCATGAACATTCCCTTGAATCAGTACTTCCCAATCAGAAGTGAATTTATTCCTCAGAGGGTATCTGACATAATCTGGAGCAACTTCTGATTGTCACCTTTGAGGACTGGGATGTGTTACTGGCATCTAACCGTCAGACAGATTCCAGGTATGCTGCAAAAACATTACACAGGTAAGCTACAGTTATCTAGTCTAAAATGTGACTTGTGCCAGTGTTGAGAAAACAATGTGTATGGATGGGAGCATATAAATTTTCAGTAAATTTTCTGGAATGCTGAGAAAAGTCAAATATAAAGAAATGGCAGAATGCCTGCCTTCTTTTTGAGCCAAACAGAATCGGAATGCAGAAGTATCACTGGTACTGAGTGCCCTGGAGGATACAAGGGGAAGGGAAATGCCATGCCTCATTGGCTCTTGCTTGGTGTGGTCAAGTGCAGCACTGTCAGCAAAGCACATTGGGAAATTCTCAGAAGTTTGTAAGTTCTCTGTCTGCCAACTTGTAATCTCCTTTCTCTAATTGTGCCTGTAGTAGTCAATGTTAGTTGTATTTTCTTGCTAGTGCACTTTTATATTCTTCCTGCATTCTCTTATTGCATTCCTCCCCCACTCTGTGATATCCTAGAAGGGTGCTGCTGAAACTATGCTGACCACAATATTATATTCACTACCCTGTGCTTTGTTGGGACAAAGGATGGGTACATAACTCAAGTGGGTTGTTGGAGTCATCCCTAGGATTGATAACTAAATGCTAAAAAACAAAAAAACAACCCCCCCCTCATTTTTACTGATGTTATTCACTAGAAGACAAAAGACTAAAATTGTGTGCTTTTTGTAGATGTATAGTAAAAGTAGAATAAAATCACTTTGTTGACTTACATATGTTAAGGATGTGTAACACATACCCCTTGACATTTAGTTCTTTTAAAGAAAGAACAAAAATAATACAAAGAGTTTGTGGCAGAAAAAAAACAAAACAGGAGATAATAGAGGTGTGTGAAAATACTTAGTAATCAAAAAAGAACAGGTAAACATGGGAATGGGACAGGGTCATAGAGAAAAATCTAATAGAAATAAAAAGCAAATTATAAGATGAAATATTTAAACAAAACTATCTCAATAATGGCACTAAAAATTAGTGGTCTAAATCTTTGTATTTAAAAACCCCTGAAGCGTGGACATATAAGGTGACTGATCAAAGCTCAGTGAAAGCCTTGACTGTCCACTTAACCTTAGATAATCAATGTCATTTTTTCCAGTTAACTCTTCTCAGATTTTTCCCATGGGGGATTAATATTTAACGTGGGCTGGGTGGTGGTCATGCAGCCTTTAATCCCAGCACTGCAGAGATTGAGGCATACAGATCTCCAAGTTCAAGACGAGCATGGTCTACACAGCTATACAGAAAAAAGATGTCCTAAAAACTCTTTATCTATCTGTCTATCTGTCTATCTATCTATCTATCTATCTATCTATCTATCTATCTATCTATCTATCTATCTATCTATGTTAACTCTTCTCAGATTTCTCCCTTGGGGGATTAATATCTAACGTGGGCTGGGTAGTGGTCATGCAGCCTTTAATCCCAGCACTGCAGAGATTGAGGCATACAGATCTCCAAGTTCAAGACGAGCATGGTCTACACAGCTATACAGAGAAAAGATGTCATAAAAACTCTTTATCTATCTATCTATCTATCTATCTATCTATCTATCTATCTATCTACCTACCTATCTAATCTTTATGGTTGATGATAATGAAAGTTAAATAACACATAGGCGTGGTGGTGATAGTTCAGCTGGAATAGTCCTTGCCTTGCAAACTTGAGTCCAGAGATTGATCATGAGAGCCTATGTGAAAAGCATGGTGTTCTGGTACAAGTGTGTAACCACAGCACTGGGGGAACAGAGACAAGGCAGACAGATGCTTGGAGCTTGCTGTTCAGGTAGCTTAGCTCCAGGTCAATGAGCCACAAGGCCATGGAACTTTTAGTCTCCTATCTATTCTTCCTATCAGTATCATATTCCTCAGTGTGACTGGCTCACTGAGGAACCCTGTTTTTAAAGTACCCTTTTCAAAAATAAAAACCTTGTAAGAAACAGCATCAACTGCAATCTTAGTTGTAAGATTTCTTCTGGATGCCCTTTATCTTCACCCATAACAATTACATTGAGAGCCCAAGCCAGGTCCTTCTGTAACATGGCCTCTGTTAATGATCTGCTCATCCCATCTCCTCAGACACCCTATGGTATTCTTGATACTACCCTAAGACATGGCAAAATGGGCAAAAAATAAAAAGCAGGAGAGAGAGGCCCCTTTTCAGTGACAATCCTACTGATAATTAGCATGCGCTGTTAAAGTAACTGTTGGTTGCACTTTATTTATAGGTATTAACATGATTAATTGCATTGGAAGTGTGCCTGGAGGATGACACTTTCTGAGCTGGTGCTGGGACACAAGTGAACCTGCAGCCCTCTCGGGGTAACGGGGGAGGCTAGGATCAGCCCACACTTCTCCCCCACATGACAAGTTCTCAAAGGATTCTAGGTCTAGTTCCTCCTAAGGAACAATTTTCTTTGACCCTAGAGATGGACAAGGGAATTAACACCACACGTGTGCAATGCTCTTTGTGGTCAATTACAAATTTCTCAGCACTATCTTATCTCGTCTTCTCTAGATCCCTGATTTAATATGGCATTTAAAAGCTCCAATATTTAGATATCTAGCCTAGTTTCCTCCTTGCATTATAGATTCATAATCCAATGTCATCCTCAGATCCCTAACAAGTTGTTTAACAGGCATCTCAATGTTAATCATCCTTTACAAATAGAGCTCATTTCCCTCACCTGCCCCCCAGCCTTCCTATTTAGCCCTTTCCATCTTTGTGTGGCAAAACCTCCCAAGGGCTGAAGTTAAAAAACTAGTTGTCAGCCGGGCAGTGGTGGCGCATGCCTTTAATCCCAGCACTCGGGAGGCAGAGCCAGGCGGATCTCGGTGAGTTCGAGGCCAGCCTGGACTACCAAGTGAGTTCCAGGAAAAGGCGCAAAGCTACACAGAGAAATCCTGTCTCGAAAAACCAAAAAAAAAAAAAAAAAAAAAAAAAAAAAAAATCTAATTGTCACTCTATCTATATTCCTCCTCTCACCCTCCCACATCTGCTAGTCATGTCATTTCTCCCTTCTAAAATATCTAGAAACTTCCCAATTTCCCCCTCTACAGTGCTACCCTACTGCAAGGCAACATCATTTTGCACATGCACTGCAGTGTGGCTCTGAGCCTCAGGTTCAGTCTACTCTGATCATTGGCAAGGAATTACATGGAGCTGATTCAGAAAAGGGCTATCTGGAGAAGTGAGGAGACATCGTAGTGCCCGACCCTCCCGTGTGACTAGGGTTTTCCCTTCAAAGGCTTCTGAGAGGTGGCTGTTATGGTGATATTTTATTTGTGCTGAAATGTGATTTTATTTGTATATTAATAAAGTTGCCTGGGGATCAGAGCTAAGAGCAAGCCATTAAGTCTGGTAGTGGTAGCACACACCCTTAATCCGATCACATGGCAGGCAAAATCTCTGTGAGTTCAAGAACATTGCCAGCATGGTGATACATGCCTGTAATCCCAGTACCAACCATAGAGACCTGGAGGTCTATATAGACAGGCAGTGACAAGGAAGTCATGTGGTTGGGTTTAGAGCCAATGAGAAGGCAGAACAGAAAGGCAATAAAAAGACAGGACACAGGAAGAAGGTCTCTCTCTCAGGGGAAGGACAGCAGTGAGTGATAAGAAGGTGGTCTTGGCTCTTGGCTGCTGCTCGATCTCTGGGCTTTTAACTCTTTATTTGGCTCTTTGTTTCTTATTTAATAAGACGGTCTAGAATTCCATCTACAGGCTGGAGAGCTTTCTTCTCACCTGTGTACACTTGAAGCCAGCTGCATCCCAGTGCTGCAGTGGCAGATGGGACCAATGATGATAGTAACACTAAGAGGAACTTGATGGAGCCACTTTCCCTTCTTATAAGAAGGAAAAATGGCTTTGGTTGGTTTGGAATCTGACAGGTACTCACTCTGACAATACTAAGGTCGACAGTATCTTACCTACTAGGTAAGAGGGCCTACGAGGTACACAGCTTTTCTCAGTACCAAAGGCAAATATTTTCTGTCATATTGAAGCCAACAAACTGGGAACATAGAGTAGAGCTTCACCACAGGGCAGTAGTCCTGGGTCCCAGCTGGCAAAGGGAAGCCATCTTCCCAAGTATAAAAACTAAGCCACTTTCCCAGAAAATCAAACATGGTTCTCATCTCAGGTTTGTTATCAGAATACATTTTTGATGGGTGCTTTCCAAATCTTTCAAAAATCATTGAGTATGCTTGCCACACAAGCATGAGAACCACACACATGCACACCCGCACACAGTCATGAACATGTATTCACCCCCCCCCAATACCAGAACTCATTTAGTTAATGGGGTCATTCAAAATAGTTGTTATCAGACTAATGTCTCTTCCTCTTATAACCAAGCTACTAGACTAAGAACAGGAAGTGTGTGTGGGCACTGTAAGTATGACCTTAGCATGACATATGGTGAGATCTCTCCTGAAATCCTTGCAAATGATCTAGATGATTTAGCCTAGACAATAATAAAGGTGAATTCATATCCAGAGTAACCACCATGGTTACACCAATGGTGTTAAAGTGAATGTTCCAATTACTTGGGTCTTATCCAGTTCCAATTTTTTTCAATAGTCAAGAAGCAGCAGAATTTGATAGGATACAACAGACTTCATGAGTACATGGGAGTCTAGACTCAACATCCATAAAAATCCTGATTGGGGAGATAGATAAAGCCTAATTATATAAATTTATTAAGATAAATTTTTGGAGGACTTAAAAGGCCAATGGTACAATTCCTAAAGTAGATATAGAGCATTGGGAGAGCAGTGTGGAAACCTAGCACAGTAGAAACTTCCTGGAATAAATGAAGCTGACCCTAGTGAGGACTCCTAGTAACAGAGGATACGGAGTCTGAACTGGCCATCTTTTGTAGCCAGGCAAAGCTTCCAGTGGTGAGACTGGGTAACATTTGGTTGAGTTGTTGGTGGAAGATGTCCCATGGAGATCTCTAAACCACCCAGGCTGATGCTAGGACAGAAGGTCACCCTCTGAAAATTGACAACA